AGAGAGAGAGAAAGAGAGAGAGATGGGGTGGCACGGCCATCACCGGCTGCATTTCGACGGGGGCGAAATGGGAACATTACCCGTGCAGGATGCAAATCGGATATGTGTTCTTTAAATAGAACTATTGATATAAACAATCGCGCGAGATAAACACGTCGTGTCACGACGAATCTGCATGGTCTCGAAAGACAGTGTTGGATCTTGAAGACGCGCTCAAACAGAAATTGCGCCATTGTGACCCGTACGGTGGAGGCGGGATTATGTGCATTACTTAACCCTAAATCGTGCTACTTCAATCCATAAGTGTCGTATATGGGACTTGTAAGCACGTTGAAACCCCAGGCGGTCGAATGTATTCTGGAGACCTCTACGACAGCGTGCCCCGTGTGTGTGTGGGGGGGTATATATATATATATATATATATATATATATATATATATATATTCACAATTATTTTATCTTGCAATATGCGCATATTTTGAACTTGGCTGCACACTTATCTACAGCCACACACTGATCGCCTCACTAATATTCCGTGCAATAAAAGCGAAAGGTACGGATGGCGTAACTTCGTAAGAGAAAAAGAAATGATACTGAAATGAGCGTTTCTATCGTCACGGCACCCCTAATAATTGGGGTTGCTAGAGCTACGCATGGACAATCAACAATAGTGAACTCGCGTGACACCCCCGTTGTGCTCACTTCATTATTTCATTCATTCGTTCATTTCCTCGTAGGTCTCTTTGCTGATACAATACATTTGAAATTAGTTGCCGCATTCCTCTATGAATAAACCGCGCCCACTATGCGAGACTGCGTGGCCACGGAATCGAATTAGTTAATATAATTAGTCAAACGCGAACTGTACCCACTAAAGAAAAGTTTTGCACGTGACAAAAAGAATTGGTTGTCGTGTTCCACACTCTTTTTCGCGCCCTGATATCATTCTTGATTATCTTATTGATACAAACTCCAATCGGCACTTTGCGCGATCTCTATACGTAGCAAATTAGCCTTTCGGGAGGGAAGGATTATAAACAAACCCGCCACGGTGGTCTAGCGGATATAAGGTATACTCGCCGGCTGACCCGCAGGTCGCGGGATCGAATCCCTGGCACGGCGGCCGCATTTTCGATGGAAGCGAAAACGCTTGAGGTACGTGTGCTTAGATTAAGGTGCACGTTAAAGAACCTCGGGTGGTCGAAATTTCCGGAGCCCTCTACTACGGAGTCTTTAATAATCAAGCGGTGGTCTTGCGACGTTAAACCTCAAAAATTATCATGTTATTATTAAAGGCTGTAAGGAAAGTAATAATCGCCAACAACCATGTGGTTAACAGTTATGAGATGTGCGCTTACAAATGAGCTCGTCTGCATCTGTTCATTTTGTGTATGCTACGTTTGCCCTTTGTTAACAGGCACACCATACGACATAAGTAGTACAATGCACGGACAAAAATACTCCGCGAAGTGGACTGGACAAGCGCCTTCCATCATAGCCTAATTAGTAGAGCATCGGGCGCGTAATTGGCTGGCTCCATGGGTTCGCATCTCTCCGACGGAAAGAGCGTTCCTAAGGCATGTGGGCGCCGCCACATTTCCTGCGTTAAGTTGACGTTTTCTCTTGTTTTGGTCTTTGTGCGATGTGTAAAAACAAGGCCAAGAAAGATCGTATGCATCAACCCAACAGATTTCACGCGTCTAATGTAACACTGCCTGTTTAGTTGTGAAAGATTCAAACCACAAAGGCTAACAGCCCAACATGGTGCACTGAAGCCCATTCGTAAAATACTCTATATAGTCGATAACATTACTTGACCCTGGAGCGAAGGCTACGGAGCTAAATCGGGCGCCGCCAGCGAATGTAGTCCCGCAATAGCGCCCGTATTTTCAGCGTGAACATAAGAGTTCCTCCTTCATTTTCTACGTGGAGCCACCTGAGGCAGGATGCAGCTAGCACCAGTAAGATATTCACACTTCCTTACATTTATTCGTTGTGACTTCACGATTCTCAACGTGCAAGAAAGGCCCGCATTTTCACGTGTATGCCTCGAACACTATAAGCGGCGTCTGTGTCACATGAAACGCTGATGGTGCACCTACGTCACTTTCCGTAGCGTTACAGACGTGCGCAAAATCAGACTGTATATACTTCGCGCAGGGTGACATGTGCAGAATCTCAACCTCTGTAGCTTTCCCTTCAGTGCCAAAAAAAGAAATGAGGGAGAGAGAAATGTAAATGAAAGAGGAAGAGATAAAAAAGGATGCTATTTTCTGCCTCCCGTCGCGGGGGCACGGCTCGGCGCCTTTAGGGATGGGGGGAAAGAGAAGTAAAGATGATAGGAAGAAGAGCAGAGTTGTCGCCCTGCAGTATAGCCCCGTTTTAGGGCCTTGTCACACTCACCGGCCCTTCGGTCGGATTGACTGAGTGATTCTAAGCACGAGAGACGAAGACACCTTAACTTTTGTCTTCCTCTTGGGAGCATGCAGCGCTGCCACGAACATACACTCACGCCCAAAACAGATCCCCCTCACCAGACCCCGGGAAGGTGGAAGTGCCGGGACAGACGTACAGATGATGATGGGTTGATGAATTACGTGAGACTCTATAGAACAAAGTGCCTCCGGGCGCCGCGTCTCCTTCCTATCCGACAACGGCACATGCACTGGAGGAGGCCGGCTTCGCCCTGGCCGCGGTGTAAGATCGCCCTGGCCAATTTCACTCGTGAAATAGTGCTGTATACGTAATGCTATAGTAAGCGTCGGTACCACTTCGCACCAAGGGCACTCACCGCGATACCCAGAATTCACATTGGGCAGTATCACAACTATCGGCGTTTTTTTTTTTTTCTCTCTCGATCTGGCAAGGTAGAACAGCTAGCCATAGCATTAGCCTTCTTAGATCCGGCCGAAACGGAAGTCTGCACAGACTCAAGGTCGACAGCCAGAGCGTTCTCCTCTGGAGGGTCGTCTGTAGAAAAGCCGCCAAGACACTGGAAAGAAGGGTACTCAATCATCACACCATCACCCGTTTCCCGGCCCAGGGTCAGAAGTAGGATGGCTTGTCAACGCCAATGAACTGGCTCATGCCCGAACGCCAGGTCTCGCTTGCCGCGCCGGGCTCTCGGAGGTCAAATCGGGCGAGGCGCGCGACGGGTCTGGTTCAATAGTTCCGGAGACACGGAACCCCAACCCTTCCGGCTTGTAGAGACATACTCGCCAACTTTAACGAAGTCACGAATAAGCATTACCATGCAATGCTTCTGCTTATGAAAATGATACCCCTACTCCCTTAATGCTGGAAACTTATGGGGCAGAGGGGTTAGTGCGTAAATAAATAAATAAATAAATACGTAAGCGTAAATAGAATAAATAAAAAAATAAATAAACGGGCGACAACATCCTAACGTTCCTCAAAAACGAATTTTTGGGTGTTTCATGTCCCTCGATTCAGTTCTCATAACGTGCTTCCATGGCTATTTCGCTACATCCCGGATGGCTCGCACGACTGCTGCGTCACATTTGCTTTATTCCACGCAATTGCCGAGACGGGACGCACGCACGCACACACGCACGCGCACACACACACACACACACACACACACACACACACACACACACACACACATGCACAAACACACACACACACACACACACACACACACACACACACACACCACACACACACACACACACACACGAGACGAGAGTATCACTTCGTTCTCAATAATTGGCACACACTCTCCGAGTCTGGTGGATGGGGAAGTGAGGTGACCTCGCCGGAAGGTTGGACCTCGAAGAGGTCGCGCACGGCGCATGCAGGGACTTTATCTTAGCACCGAACTGATTCGCCAACTGATTGCGCCGACACGATACGGGTATGACGACGGGGGGGGGGGGGGGGGGGGCCTCGTTATAGCGGTCTGTTCAGCTTGGAAATTCAATACCAACATGTTATTGCCCGAAAGTACGTTACGATATGATAAAAGAGTTTAAGAGGCAGGTTTTGAAGCTTTATACACCTTGGAAACTCCATTCAATAGGGGCAAAAAGAGGAGACGATTGCTGCGATAAGAGAAGGCTTGAGCTAACCATATTGTGTTTATATATGTTTGGAATATTGGTGAGAAAAATATAAAGAAAGATCTTGATATAATAGAAACCATTCAAGGCGTATACAAGTTCATCGTATTAACCAAGGCTTGTATCAAGAAAAAATAAACAAATAAATAAATAAATAAACAGACAGCATGTTGGAGTGTGATAAGTGGTACAGCGCATGATTGTAAAAATTATGCTAGAATGTTCAGTGGTCATCCCTAATTTTAAAGTGTACGTCAACAACTATAAACATCATACTTATCATGATCAACGCTGTTATACAGCTACATACATGAAATATAAATTATATACTGAACATGCGTAACAGGCTGAAACACAACGTCCTCAGAAACACAAGATGAAAGGAACGAATTGTATGAAACCGTGAGCCAATAAGAAACAGTGAAGGAACATGGTAAAATTAAATAGATTAACGCAAGAAGTAGAGCTTCACGAGAAAAAAAAAAACTGGAACAACCGGCCGCCGCCGGGGTACGAACCCACGCTGAAGCATAATCACTAATCGGAGAAGTTGGTGGATGTTCATCGTAGAATAACTGACAACGCAGCGGATAAGATGCGGACATGAAATAAAAAAAGGGCACAGCACTGAACTCATAACTAAATACTCGTTTTCAAAAATAAATTTAGTTTTGAATTCAGCGCTGCGTCTTTTATCTTATTTCTGTCCGCATGTAACCCACGGCGCTGTCATTTCTTCTACGACGAAGCCACGTCTTCGCATAACGCATGCGGCACACTGCGGCGCAATTTCTGTACTACGAATTTCTGTACTACAAATTTCTGTACTACAAATTTCTGTACTACAAATTTCTGTACTACAAATTTCTGTACTACGAATCAAACCGCTCGTGCAATACGGAGAGCAATTCGACTCACCCAAGATCGCTGTACTGGGGCTTGACTCTCTGTAAGTGAAAGGAGTTTCGAATAAATGCCAACATAACACTTCCACAAATTGATGAAATCAACATTACAATTTCAAATTTTTCCCTTTAAATTTATCCTCCATAAGAAAGGAGGAAAGCCCAAAACAAAAAGCGACGATTCGCATTTGACAGAGACTCGGGCCCCTTTTACAGTAAAAGGCGTACAGTACACACAGATATAATACACACATGTACAGCGGAGGTCATAAGTTCCCAGGCCACCATCCCATGTATTCCTAAGGGATCGAGGACAGGAAACCTTTTAGCCCCCCCCCCCCCCCCCGTACCTACAGCGTATCTAATATCACAGACAATGCAGCAAATTGACATCTACAAATTCAATAAAGCTGCTATAATCGATGCAAACTTCAAGACAAAATTTAAATACAAATACAACTTTGAAACATGACAATTGGTTGAACTGTGCCTGATATCATTTGAAGTTATTAATATTGTTAATATTATTCATATTATTACCCAGTGTTTCACCTGTCAGAATACCCAGATGATCATGAGGCACTCCGTAGAGCAGGGCTACGTCAATTGTGACCATTCTTTAACGTGCACTGGCATAGCACCGTACACGGGCTTCTATAGCATTTCACGGCCGACTAAAGATGGTCGCCGCGAACGGGATCTAATCCACGACTTTCGGGGTCCGCAGCCGAACCCCGCGTTAACGACTGCAACAACCTTGCCGGACTGAAATAAACGTCCGTAACACAGATCGCAAGGTAACGCACTGAGGTTTATCTTTGGTCCCTGTCTATTTTCCGTTCATGTCATCGCGAATGTTAAGTCAACAGCAAGCTTAACACGAACGCTCCGACACGTGACCTGGAGTACTTTGCGACTGATGCCAGCCGCAAAGCAATTCACTTTGTTGCCGGGATAATACCACGGTATGCTTGGAAAGTATCGATTGATACGCGGAGTTTAACGCCACAAAACCACCATATAATAATGAGAGACACCGTAGTGGAGGGCTCCGGAAATTTAGACCACCAGGGTTGTTTTTTTTAACGTGCACCCGAGTCTGAGCACACGGGCCTACAGCGTTTTCGCCTCCATCGAAAATGCAGCCGCCGCCGACTGGATATATGCTTGGAAAGTATGTCGACATGTATGGCTAACATCCTGTACACAGAACCGAAAACTACGCGGCGCCAGCATCAATCAAACTGCTTCAAGACACGCTGTGGAGGAGCGTTCGTGCTAACCTCGCTGGAGACTGTAAATAACATTCGTGGTCAAACTATAGCTGGGCATACAGAATCACAAGGTCAAACTAATTTCGCCCTGTGCACAAAGAGAGTAATAAAAAAAATACATCCTCTCTCGCTAAAGGAAACCATATTCGAGATGCGAAGCAGCGGGTAGGCTAGCAGACGCTGCCTGCGTCGGCGTTGAGAGGTGACAGAGGGGAGCGTAGAAGAAGAGAGGGGGATAGGACGCGCATGCTCAGTACGGGTGGTCACGCCGCACACCGGATTGAGCTCGACCATAAGATGCTTCGCATCCAATAAAACGGGCGTACACAACGACAACAAGCGCACGGTGTCGTACCACCAACAAAAATACGCGAGACAATCCAAGCCCCTCATCCACGGATCAATATGCCGTTCCCTCCAAGGCTGGGCCGTAGGAGCGCGTCACGTAATGCTCACATATATAGAGTCGAGAACGTTCGGTAAACAACACCGAACGCCGTAGGCAATTAGTGACGTACGAGTCCACGCTATAATGCGCAGCGCTAATTACCGGGCACGAGAAATAGATCGCGCCCTTCGGCGAGGTGGCGACAGGAAATGGGATTCTCAGCTCGCCTTCCAACCATCCGCGGCATGCACGATAGTCGTGGATAGTGAAAGATATCATGTTATGGGTGCTACAGGCGTGTAATAGCGACGGGTCCCTATAGCACGCTGGACATTGGCGATAACACAGCCTCGGCATTCAATCCACACTTATTAGGTATTTTCAACTACGGTGTACACGCGCTATAGCTTCACGCCACCTTTCTTAAGTTCACCCGATCCCAGATGTGTGGCTTCTCTAACATCTGTTTCACACTTAATGTAGTTCTTTTTTTCTTCAGTGAAATTTGTCTATAATTCTATTTTTCATTTTCATAATAGTGGTATCTCACGTTAACTTTTTTTTTCATCTGAATTTTTTGCCTTCAGTACACGTTACGAAAATGGGAAACCAACTGGCGACCCTTGACCAGGCCCGGCAAGCCGCTGTAGCCGGTGGGGCTCTGCAAGAGAGTCACCACCAACCATAACCATAGCCTCCATATGAATAACTGTTTTTTCTCTCTTCTCTAATCTGAGTGATTGATTGATTGAGTGATCAAAGTGAGTGAGTGAGTGAATGAATGAGTGAGTGAGTGAGAGATCGAGCGTTTACACACCTCTACGCGATCTATGTATCAGGAACGCAGAATCGCGGAGGTCTAACAAGGTACTACGCCTGTAGTACGTAACAAAAATAGCTCATAATCTTGTGCTGCGGCCCTGCCGGCAACACCCGTTATTGCAGTCGGAAACCGCCCTCTTGGAGCCGTGCTTATCGGTATTTAAACACACGCCATTCAGAGCCAGCTGTGCCATTGCTGTTTGGGAACGTGAACACCCATAAATTATTATTGAAGTTCAGCTGAAAGACAACCCTTTTGCCATCCACTCTCTACTTTGCATGTGCCTATCACGCTCTGAAGTCTAACGTGTCGTTTTTTTTAGGGGCGAAGCTCCTTATGGCGTGGCTTGGGCGTCCCTCGTAGTACGTAACCACCAGTGGCACATACCCGAAATAGGTATAACATTTGACCTCCAAGGTGGTGCCGGTGAGAGATTTCTTCTGTGCGTTGTTTAACAATAAAAAATAGTGCTCAATGTACATGCCAATGGCTGCTAACGGGGAATGAGAGACAGGAGCATTCGGCCTTTAGGTAACGCGCACGCTGCGATCCCCATTAGCAGCTATTGGTATGTACAATGAACACGATCTGACAAGAAAGGGTTGCTACATTATACTCGCTGGGTGTAACCTCCTTAGTTTTAGAAAGGTTTAGCGAGCGTTGAGCCGCAGGGCCATGAATACAATGAACTAGTATATACCATGAATGAATTCGAGATGGTTAAAGGGGGGAAGCAGATACGAAGCGCAAGCCGTAAGAAATTAAAAGCTGAATCCTCCTGTCTCTCATTTCACATTAGCAGCCATTGGCATGTAAATTGAGCCCTATCTGACAGGAAAAGGTTGCTACGTTATACTCGCTGGGCGTAACGTCCTTGAATTTAAAGAGGTTTAGTGAGCGTTGGGCCGGTGTGCCATGAATACAGTGAACTAGTATATACCATGAACTCGAGGTGGTTGAAGGTGGGAAGTAGACAAGAAGCGTAAGCCGTAAGAAAGTGTAGGTGTGCCACCTCTCGTTTAGTCCTTGGAATGTCCACTGAATGGCGGTGCTTCTATATGGGTAATATATGATAAAAAGATGCGAGATGGTGGGACTTGGAGTGTTGAATAGATGGACGAACGGACACACAGACAGATGCATGGATGGACGCATGAACGGACGCAGGGGCGGATGCATGAACGAACGCAGGGACGGGCGCACGAACAGACGCATGGACGGTCACACAGACGGACGCATGGACGGACGAATGCTTCGCCCCACTCTCCATCATTCACTCCGTGGATATGCTGCCATTTTTTTTTCTTATTCAGGCAGAATACATTGACAATCAAGGCGGCTTTGTCAACCATGCATATAGTGATCGCAGTAGCGGCGGTCAACGAACGCACGCCTTCCTTCTGAGCGAGCTTGTGAACCCAGCGTGGACGTGCACTGTTTCGAACACACATGCGTTATACTCGACACATCTCGAGATGTAGCGAGGAAGAAAATGACCGGGCACTGAGCAGGGCACATTGAGTACCGACTCTTACAAACGAAACAAAAAGAAAACGAGCAAACACGGGCATAGCGTTTCAGACATACGACACGCCCAGCGACATGCGAGCTATATAAAGGGCATCGAACGAAGACGCTCGAACGCTGAAGCATTATCGACATAAAAGCTGCAGTAACAACTTCGCAGCATGGTATCCATTTCGTGGTCGCCGCAAAAGTTTCAGCGCAGATCAGATAGAAAAAAGCATGCGGAAGAGAAGACGGCATGTGCACAATGGTGAATATAAACACGCGGCGCCAGCTTTTACAAAAGAAAACCTCCACGCTGTGTCAGCATGCAGGTAGTATATACGCGACGCGCCGTTTTTCAATTCACGGCGCCAAAAAGGCTTATACGCATCCGTGCGCGCGCGCGGACCGCCGTTGACAAAAGAGCGCGCGTCTCGTCTCCGACTGCTGTAAAGAAACGGACCCGACTCTCATTCTTCGTCGACGCTTTCTTTTCGTACACTATACACTCTCCTTTCGGACCGCGAATGGCCGTCTCACCTTTCTTTCGTGGCAGTATATACCGACCCCTGCAGCAGACACGCGAGAAAAAGAATGGCGTCGCGACACACACGCAAGTATACGCGCGTGCGACCTGTCTCGCTCGAGCACTTCCGCGCTATTAAGACGCCTATATACAAGGCAAGAGATATGTCCTCTCGGACACGGAGTTTCCCAAACTTCACTAGAAAGGGTTCGGGCGCTGCGATCACCCAGCCACCATGAAAATGATGGGTGGTAGTACATGGATGTATTGGCCGCCGCGAGGGCCTCCACTATAGAGAGGCCAGCGCTGCGATTGTTTTGACGTCACAGATAGGATGCGTAGTTGTGGAATACGGACAGCTTTGCTTTCGCGGCACCACTTGCATCGTCCCCCACGGCTGCTCCGGTTCTCAGTCACGACGCAAATCAGACACGAGTGCGCCATTGGGGGCACAGGTTCGTAGTTTGCTTGGGCGTATTATCAGGTCTTACCGCTTCTTTAAGCACTGAGCTTCGAAACAAAGGGA